GACAGGTAAAGTCAGTGGTGAAAAATGAAAATGGAAGAAGTGCTAAAAACCTGATGAATTTGAGCTTATATGTCCAGCCACCAAATGGACACATGGGCTGTCCCTGTGTGTCCCTCCTGCTTCCCACACTGCCTGGCCCCACTGGCCATATTACTGCAATCTTTCTTTCTTCTCATTCTTTCCTACATATATCAGACTTTATGTTTTAGCCGTTTCAGCTAACTTCTCATGTCATGTTAAAATCCCTCTCATTCTTTTGACGTGGGAGCATATGTTTCTTGTTAGTCCTGAAACCCACTCAAATTCTTCTATTTCTCAGCTCTGGGGAGAAATTCTGGTGGCTCTGATGATTTCCCACCATAGGTTCAATTTGTCTGAGCAACACTTATGTTCTTGCTGCAGGTCAGATACATTTTTTATGTCTTCTAACCTTCCCCCAGTAGCTGTCCCCAGATGTTACTTTTGAGAACATAAGACACCTCTTTCCTTTTTCATTCATGAGAATGTTGGGATCATCCAACAAGCAAGTTATCAGCTCTTGCATGTCACAGTCTCTTTCTGCCTTTACTATCCTGTTTGACTCTTACCTTTGAGCAAAAGTATGATCTTTCTCCATTTGGAAGGCTAATCTTTCCACTTTGTCAAGGGGCTTGGCTTTTTCCCTTTTTCTGAATATACGCGTTCTTTCCCCACTCTCCATGTTTTCCTGAGATTCTGGCCATTCCCCATTTACTGTCAGTCTTTTCCTTGGCCAATCCCCGCCGGTGACCTGTGGTAACTAATCCTGATTCTCAGCCTCCTTCCTGAGCACTGTCTGCTGATCACCTCCACCTTCATAATTCACACACGTTCAGCGAGCTTAAGACTACGTTTACCATCTTTCTCTCCAAACCCACTTCTTCCCAGGAACCCACCCTCCTCCACTTTTTTTTGTTAATGCAGGAGAAATCCTCCCTCTTTGTGTAGATTTGAAACCCTGGAATCCGCTTCAAACCTGCCCTTTCCCTGATTCACTGCCATCTTTGTAGAATCATTATAGGTCATAGTGCTTCCCACACTGTAATTGTTTATAGGACACTTTTAGTTTCTGAGATAGACTCTGGAATAGAGGGAAGAACACTGGATCTGGAAAGGAAGACTAGAACTTGAACTTGAACCAGGCTTTACCTCTGTGAGGTAAAGTGCCTCTGGGACCTCTGGCGAATCACTGACCTACTTTTCACCTCAGGGTCCCTGTCTTTAAAAAGATGATAACAATATCTTTCTCAAAAGATTGTTATAAAGATTGCAGAGATTAATATGCATGAAAGTTCTATACAAATTCTGAAGTGACATACTGTGATTTAATCTTCGAGGTGGCCAGCTGTTCTCGCTCTCAGAGAGAGGAAGCTTGAACAAAAAGTAGAATCAGTAGATCAGTTTAGAACCTCTCATTTGCAATAAGCAAACTATTCTCAATGGATCAACCTCTGTACTTCTATGAACTATCAGTTTTAATCCATATGACATTGCAATTCTTAACAGGCTTCTAAAGGCAATTACTGAAAGTGCATATGGTCCAAACTAATAGTGGTTATTCCCACTTTACCTCCCTTTCATGGCTCCAGGAGAATCCAGACATTGGAAGGGCATATGGCACCCTTGACTTTGCATTTGCGAATCTTTTGCTAATGCTATTGGGGTGGAGGCAAAGGTTATGCCAACCTCTGTCTCTGGGTCTTCATTACCAGTATTTCTGTCCATCAGGTACCTAGCTTCCTCTGTGTCCTATCGTGAATGTGAGGGCGGGAGTACCTGGCCTACATACTTTAGTTACTTGGTCTCATCAAAGTACAAAACAAATAAGGTAAAACTAGCTTTATTATTGTCCTTATTAGGTTTGTTATCAATCCCATGACCTACAGTGTTTGGTTGACTCGGAAGTCTTTGACTTGATGAATCAAAATGATATTTTATATAAATTGTTAAGTTACCCCTTTGCTGTTTCTTGGTCCTAAGTGCTTAAGAACTGTTGTGGTTTTCTTTTAGCTGACAACAGGTAATCCATCTTTTAAAAAGTCACTATTATGTAGTAGCCTCATGAGTATCAACAAAATAAAATGAGATAACATATCCCTTAACTAAAATATTTTTGCTATGAAGGTTGGCCTGATAGAATCACCCTGGAGTAGAGCTATCTACCTCACAAAATGCCACTCTGCTTACACAATGTCAACTTTTGTGTGCAAAATATGAAACCATAAAAAAGAATCCCGTTTTCATATTGTGTATTGATATATATGTATGTATATGAGTACACTCAAAGAACCGATTTTTTTTTCAGTATGGAAAGCTTTTTATTTAATAAGATAGTGCAAGTAACCTTCACTGTACGATGTTAAGGCACATAACCACTTCAGATTCTGCATCTTCCTGATTCCATACTCAGTTAGGTGCCAAACACAAACTCTAATTCTTATGCTCTTATGCAGTGTTTAATTGTACAGATTCCATAAAAAATCACTTAATATAAAGAAAACAAATACTCTCTTTTATTGCCACTCTAAATACTTTTGCCAGCAAATGCTTTTGGGGGTGCTTTTTATTTATGGATTTTTCACAATGCCGGAGAGCTTTTGTCTTTTTTAGTGCTTTATATTTATAGTTGTGGGATGATCATTTTCTGGTTGGTTTCACATTGAGCTCTTTTAGAACTAGTTGGAGTAGTAATAGTTTCACACAGTTTATACTTTCTCCCCCTGAGTCCTATGTTAAATCTTTTTCACTCTCTCAGTGACACTGCAATATATTATGCTATACATTCTTAGGCTATTAACTTTGGGCATTGCTAATGATTTCTTTTTTATATATATACAGCACATAAAACATGTAAATGTTTCTTATTAAAACAAGAAAACTCAAAACACAATCAACCCTATCAGAAAAAAAAAAGAAAAGAAAAGGAAAAGAAAGAAAGAAAGAAAGAAAAAGAGAGAGAGCTGGAGATTTTTTTTAAAGTTATATTGTGAGAGAAACAGGTTTGTAAAATCTCAGTGTTGGAAAACAAAGTAAATTATAAAAGACCCCTAAAGGGAGAGATTTCGTTTTCTTAAAAAACAGCTTGTTTGGCATGCCATTCCTGTACTTAATTTATTTTTTAAGTAACACATTTGAAAAATCAATAATAGGAACATAACAGGTTTTTTGGGTTTTGTTTTTGTTTTTGTTTTGTTATGTTTTTGCCTAGAAGAAAATGTCTGAGTCTTTGTGAGAAGGCAGGAAGAAGAAAAGGAAGGAATTTCAAAGTCACCTTGACCCCCACGTCATCAGCCCTCAATACGTGTAAAGGAGCCCTGGAGGGTAGAGAGCTCACTGTAAATTCTAGCAGCTCAAAGCCTATGAGGATTTAACTGGTGGGTGTATGTATTAAGTAGCTGGGAAACAAGTAGCCTTAGGTGCAAAGCTTAACACCAAAAGATTTAAGGGAACAGGATGATTCAGAAAGAGCACTCACCCCTACCCCACCCAAAAGCAAGAAATAGAATTGATGAGAGCAACAGCAACCAATATTTGCACCTTCACAAGGGAGATTGCCTACTCCTAAAATAAAAGTCTGTGGAAGCCACTGGACTCCTCACTTACTTTACACTTTGGCTTTCTTGATGATACAACAGGATGGTTCAGAAAACACCTTTCACAGAGGTTTAAACACCCCAATTGGCCATCTTCAGGCCAAGCAGTGAATGGCTGAAGAATGGAATAAGGGTAGATGGGATGGAGGAGGGAGAACAAAGAGGAGTAGGAGAAGATGGGGGTCCCAGGTGAGGAGAAGGAAGGGGGAGTGATAGGGAAAGAAATAACTGGCTGGGCTGCAGGGTGGGACTGTACAGCGCAGGGGATGGTGGTGTAGGTAAATGGAATCAAGGAAAAGAAAGCTAGATGAGCAGGGGAGGTCAGATTTCATTAAAGCCTGATCCAAAAAAAAAAAAAAAAAAAAAAGCCTGATCGATGCCTAAACGGCAAAGCTCGTAGTATGGTGCATAGAAAAGTGAGAACAGATTCTTTTTTTTTCCTTGATGCACTAAGAGGGATTGAAGAAACGTTTACAAAATGTTTACTGAGGTTGCCCCAGCAGCATGCAGACAACCACATCTGGCTGGGTTCTTCCCTGCCCTTACTCCCCTTGGGCAATGGAAGGAAGAAGCACTGGAAGCAGCCTCAATCTCTGTGCTTACAGATGTTCCTCTGCTTCCAGAAAACGGAGACCATCAGATAGGCCAGTCCCAGAGCCACTACCTCGACTCTCTCCCAGAATTTTGACACCATGAGCCCCTTCTGGTGGAAAGAGGCTAGAGAGAAACAGATAAAAGCAAAAAAAAGACAAACACACAGAAACAAAAAAACACACCAAAAGAAAAAAAAAAAGCAAAAACAACTCCCCCATCATTGTTATATAACTTTTAGTTCTTTTTATTTTATTTTTTTATGATTTTTATTTATTCATCAATGAGAGACAGAGAGAGAGAAGCAGAGACACAGGCAGAGGGAGAAACAGGCTCCATCCCAGGACCTGGGAATCACACCTGGCTGGAGCCAATGGTGGATGCTCAGCCACTGAGCCCCCCAGGTGCCCCTGGTTCTCTTTTTATTTTTTAAAGATTTTATTTATTTATTCATGATAGACATAGAGAGAGAGGCAGAGACCCAGGCAGAGGGAGATGCAGGCTCCGTGCCGGGAGCCCGACACGGGACTCGATCCCGGGTCTCCAGGATCGCGCCCTGGGCCAAAGGCAGGCGCCAAACCGCTGGGTCACCCAGGGATCCCTGGTTCTCTTTTTAAATAAATTTCTGATAACTGTTCAGAGTTCTTTACTTTCTCTCCCAAGTAAAGGATCTGGCTTACGGGTACAGGTGTATTTCCCAAAATAAGACCGGACCCTTGCTGAAAAGCCACGTGTTGGAGGCTAACGCCCTGGTGTCTTATTCCTTGGCCTTTCCGGACACGCGGCGGAGAGCTCGTCAGTGGATCTGCGGTCTCCTGGAAACCGAGAAGGAAAACAGTCAGTTCTGCTCTCTTCCCCGGGCGGGGAGTGAGCGTAATGCGGGAGCCCGCAGGCCGGAGCACACAGGTGAGCAGCACACAGGTGAGCCGACCGAGCGCTCAGGTGCGCGGGTGCCAGGTGACGCGGGGCCGGGGGCTCTGGGAGGCGGCGGCGCGGGGCCGGGCGGGGCCGGGCGGGGCCGGGCGGGGCGGGGCGGGGCGAGGGGCTCCCGGGGCCGCGGGCCGCGCCACCGCCTGTCACCTCGGCGGCAGGTGGGAGCAGGTGCGCCCCCTCCCCGCCTGGGCTCCCATCGTGCAGAACGGAGGAAGCCAAAACCGTGCCGTGCAGTATGTAACGCACGTTTTTATTCTTCCATGTATAATATGTAAAAACCCAACTCCCGCCCCTTATAAAGTTAGCCTAAAAAAATTTCCGCCCCGTCTTGGGCAAGGGGATAGAGCACATTTTCACATAGGCGAAGGGCAAAGGGATCTTTGGAAAAGAGCCAGCGACTGGTTGCAAACACAGTGAATCTAGCCCCACGACCTATGTATTGTGGGAAACCCAGCATTCCTTTCAATTTCTCTAGGGATTCTTGAGGATTTACAGTTAAATCCTCTAGGATTTACCTCCTAGGACCCCTACTTTCTCCTTGCACAGATTTAATTGGATCATGAGTTACAAAGTCCCTTGTATGCGGTCTGCATATAGAATCTACCATTTCCCAAACCATTTGTCTAGCAAATTCGTAAATCTGAACTGCCTTGTTCCCTAATAATGCCAGATGTGAAAGGACCTGCTTGGTCCTAAGCTAATGTTGGTTTGTCTTTTAGTGGGTAACAATGGGTCAATTTGAGCGCTCTGAGGGATCTGTGTTTCATTCCACTTGAGCAAGAGAGCTTTTGGTGAATGGGCAGGTGTGACATGACCATGCACAGCAGAATTTGTTGGTGGTTCTTGCCTGCAATCCATTTGCAAAGACAGGTCCAATGGGTAAGAGCCAGTGTCTTTCCAAGTCTGCGTCGGTGAGCTAGTTAGGTTCAGAGAAGGGTGAAAATTGGGAATCAGCCGGCTTTTCCTGGTGCATGGCCTGTCTTGACAGCTATGTCTTTACCAAGCAGAGTCTTACTTTTTCACCTTGGTATATCCATCTGTTCCTGAATCTGTTTAGGGTGAAGAAAAGATGAGTTATCTAATAAGGCTCTAGGAAAGCTTAGAACTAGAGGCTGAAGCAGAGGCAGCCAAGCTGCTTTGTCACCACCTGGAATCAGGCAGGCAAACGGGGAGATCACGCAGGCCAACCTTCCTAGCCCAGGGGCTATCATTCCATTTTATATGTTTGAGTCATTGTGAAGAGAGAAAGATTTATAGGCATTCTTTCAACACTTACTCAACAAATATTTACTGAACACCTACCCTATTCTGAGCTCTGCAGTGTATTCAGAAACCGGGGCTGGAATCAAGTCATTCTTTCTTAGCATTCTCAAACACTACTCTTTTTGACTGCTGTGGATCACATCCTCAGGATCAACCCATATATTGATTGAATGCTTACATGTGTAAAGGATATTACAGGGTTGATATTGTCAATCTAGATATATTTTAAAAAGCCAAAAGTAGACAAACTATTACATACACAGAGCCGAAGACTGGGGAAAAGATGATATGAGGCCCTTATAAGAAGCCAATCCAACCTATTGCTCTGAATTCTGATATCATCGGGTCTCCTCATCCAAAGTGTATTGGAAAAGATGTCTTTTAAAGAAAACTGCAAGCATTTGCATCGTGGTGTTAATAGTTCAGTAAATGTCATTTGTCCTATTTGATCATAATCAACTTCAGGATCTGATATGAGTAGAGAGGCCTACCTAGTTCATTAAGGAGATGCCATATTTGGCAGGTGAAAATGTGGTCTTTGGTAATAGTCATCACTCATGAAGTTATATCTGAAATGTGTGAACAAGAAAAATACAACCTTTTTTTAAAGCCTTTGGCACCCATCCAGAGGTTCATACAATGCCAAAGATGAAGAGTTTTCTTTCTCCATGTGTCACGTCTCTTCAGGAGTGCCCCTTATCCCACTGAAGTGAGGAGACACGGCTTCAAGTGCAGCTCACAGAGCTTGGTAGACTCTCAGAAAGAATTTTGCTGTGCTGATTCTAGAACAGAGTTACTCAGCTTTTCAATGTTCAAAACTCCTGCACTGCTTTTTCATTCTATCTTCCAGAGAAGCCAAACCAGGCAAATAGATGTTGACCACCCGTAGATCTCTGTTATAAAGGCAGTAGGTATATTGAATATGCTTTATGAAACTGCTTATTACCCTTTATGCCAACCTTTTGGAAATTCTAGCAGTTTTCTTAACTTGGGGACTCATAATCCCGTTTGCTTTGCATAGTCCCAGTTTACTCTTGCCTTAGTGTAAATATTACTGTTTTTATTTTTCTCTCTCATACATGTCCTAGTTTGAAGGATAAAGTATATGGTGACATTATTCTTAACCTGGATCCTAACCCCCCCTCCCCCATTTAAGAGTAACTCTCCCAGGATAGTTCCAACTTTGTCTCTGTAAAGCTATATGAATTTGGATAAGTCATCTAATTTTCCTATGGTTTTGTATGATCCTTAAAGTAATATGATTTTGTGGACAGATATCATCTACTTCCTCTGTAGTTCCAATGCTCACATTGAGTGTGAATCGTGTCAATCACATTACTTTGGTTACCTTTGGAGAAGCCCATTTTTCTCTCTGGATGAGGTGGGATAACTGGATGTTGGAGGATCTTCCATAATCCATAACTCAATGGTGGAGGATCCTTCATGCCATTGTAGGAAGTTTGGGTTTCCTTCTAGAGAAAGGAGAGTAACAAGGTTTGCCAAAAGGTGGAGGATATGACCAAATATTTGCTTCAGAAATGTGTATTATAATAGTCCGGGGAGAAGAAATGGGAACTCCAGCAAGTGCTTTGAAGAGTTATATCTCGGTTTCTGGAAAGTCATGAAATTAACATCTTCCTGAGCTCCAGTAGCATAGAAGAACTTCTATCCTGAGTGAATTTCAATCAAGTTTCTCTCCCCTCTACTCAAATGTCTCAAATCTGTGCCACTGGTATAATATATCCTTGGTTCTCATCTTTCAATATGGTTTTGTATGTGCTATTAAAAAAATACCACCGCATCCTAGGACAGGATGTCTTTCAGTGATGAATCAAGTGATTCCCATGTGTGTTAGTTTATAAATTGTTAACTGCTTTGGGATTCATAGGGATGAAAGATGCTTTATTTATTGTCCTTTGAGATGAAAGATGCATAATTTATAACACTAGGATTACTATTTTATTTACTCTTGTGACACTGCAATCGCATTCTTTTCTAGTGATGGAATTGCAGAAGAATCTTGTTTAATTTGTGGGCAAGTGGCTTATTAAAAGCTTCGGTGTTGGAGGGTCTGGCTACACAAAAGTGGGTGTTGTATGAAGGAAGCAGTATGATCCTTTTGTTGTTACACAAAGGCTTTATTCTCCTGCTCACAAGCGTTAGTAAGATATTAAACATATGTGCATGATGTAAAGATGTTGGCTCGGATGTGTGTTCATGCAAGGTTATGATGACATAATTAGGTACGTTCTGTAAAAGTATCTTAAAATACTACAGCTGTAGACTTTACAGGGTCTTCTCTTCCAGTGGGCCTAGGACTTGGTATAGCATTATTGTACATTTCCAGGTAATCACATGTTTTTAGTATCCAAAAATATCAATAAGTGTATGTTTAGGACAATGTCGGCTTCCTGGTAGATAGATCCTTTAGAATTTCCTTGGCTGAAAATCTTCACTTTGCAGCCTTGTAGGGAAGGTTAGTTTTGTTTGTTTGCTTGCTTGCTTTTAAATAAAAAGGTGTGGCTCACTCCTTGGCAGTCAGATTTGGGATGATTTCTCTAATTTTTAAAAAATATTTGTCTTGTGTCATCTAGGCATCAGATGAATTGCAGAGAGCCATGGATTTGCGTGTGGATTGGGATGATGCAGGAATATTGAAGTTGTTTACCTGGTTATTCCACCAAGCCATCCTTCCTTTTGAATGACAGATGTCATGTATGTGATTTAGGGATAACAGTAATGGTGGAACTTTTGAGAATGAGAGAGCAGAGGCAGGGTAGATATCAGCTTCTTCTTTTTCCAGCTTTTCATTTTTATCAGAGGAAAAGCACTTGCCCTTTGACTATTGGCCAAATAGCAATAGTAAGAAAGAAAAGAGATCTATAGGATGAATGGCCCCAGAGGCCGTAGGGTAGCATTACACAGAGAAGCTGCCATGAACTTTAGAGAATAACCCAGGAAATAGATGAACCCAAGCCAGAATTTTCCCTCTTAAAATGTTCTTACCAATTTGGTTGCATGATTCCATTTTATTAGATTATGTATTTGCTTTCTTACTGTAGTCAGCTTGACATGTCTAAGAATGTTCTTTTGGAAATGCAGAAGGTATTTCTAGAAACTGTAATTCCCCTGGACTCCATCCCCTTCCACAGTCAAATAAAAAGAAGCAAAGAAAGGAAACTAAGACACAACTAATAACTCTCTTGGTGTCTGTGGAAAACCCTGGCATAAGATGAAGAGGACTAGAATTGTGTCTTCTTCAGGGACAGAAATGGACTTCAGCTAAAGCAAAGGATTAGAATGAGGTATAAAAAAGTCCTTTCCACCTGAGTCAGTCTACAATGGGTGCTGGGTTTTGTACAAAATGTTTCTCTGGGTGCCTGTTTCTCCTGTTGTCAACATTATTAAAGTTATAGTTGTTTTAGCAAAGGGAAGGTATCCACCTATCTGGAATAATTAAGAGAATATGTGATTTGGAGCATTCAAACATGCTGCTTTGCAGACCAGTGATGACTTCTGATTCACGCTCAGGGTCAAGCCCGAGCCCCATATTTCCCATGATGACTTGGGGCTTGCTCAGGTGGATCTCAAAGTAGCAGCCCATATGGGAACAGCTATCACTCTGAGTATAAGGGGGCATGGGACGTAGATATGCCGAGCTTCCTGGTGGTTGGCCCAGAGCTGTTGGACACTGCAGTCAAGGATTCTGTACCCCAAGAATGCCC